ACTGGGAGACAAGTTTGTTCTATGACTGGTACCAGGCTTCAGCCTTTTTTTCCCTCCAGACATGAAACTCCTGGGGACATTTCAGTTCCTTGGGACCATTGTTTCAATAGTCTGGCAAAAGGAGGGGCATAGGTGCCTTTTTACAGGATAGTTTTACTCCTGCCACAATGGCTACATTCCATCTCAGGCTCAAATGAAACCAGGCTGCAATAGCACAATGACTGCTTGGTTCCAGGGCAGGAAGGGCCAATACGAGTGGCAGACAGTCCTCCAACCAGTCATTCCCTCAGCAGTCTGCATTTTTCCCTTTTCTCCTTCAGCAAAGAATTATTGAGCATCTACTGTATACAAACCCCTGAAGATACAAGGATAGAAGAAATCTTCCAAGGAGAGAAAGCAAACTGCTAGGGTATTCTAGAGTTTCATTTCTGAGTCATTTTCAGAATTTGGGGTATCTGAAGTCCCAGCGTTGCCTTGTATCAAAGCTTTGAGATGAGTGGGTTAGGCATTGTGATCACATTTCTCACAGGAGACTGTAAAGATCAACAGGTAACTTTCTCATGGGATGTGAGCAATGGCAGAATTAGCCCTGAAACCGACATCTTCAACTCACTCACTTTCCTGAGTCATCTCACATTAGTCTGTCCTGGGCAGGCCAGCCACCGCAGGCATTTGAGAGCCCTGAGGCAGGACCCCTAGATGCATGCCCTCCTACGGTGAGTCCCTACAGAAGGCCTTTAGCAGCCTGCAAGATCCTGCTGGTCAGTCTTTGAAGTAAGGAACCCTGAGATCAAAGGAAATATTTTCTTGAACTCAGTGATTTGTCCTTCATCTGCTACAAACCTTAATTTAATTAGTAACATAAACTTGGTAAATACTTTATTTTCCCGACTTGCAATTTCGTCTACTTCTAAGTGACTTGAATCAAATAATGGAGAGAAAAGGGTTTTTTTTTTTTGGTGGTATTGACCCAAATTTGTATGTGTATCATGCTCCAGTGATTAATGACTTATGGTGGGAAATATTTTGGATTAAATTATCAACTTGTGTTTCAGAAAGGCAAGCTTCCCAGATTCCTTGAAATGATAGTATTTTCAGAAGGAGAGTACTGATATTGTGACATAGTCCTTAAATTAAGCATTTTACGTGTGTTTAAAGAATTCAGTCCTTACAGGAATTTGTGACATTGGTATTAAGCTCTCTAGGTAGAAAGGAAATCAAACAGATTTTCCATGGTCATTGGACCTAGGTTTTAATTCACGAAAGCGATGACAAAGCCCTGGTGGTGGCCCTGGAGCTCCTGGGGCCTGAGGAGCAGCCTTCTGACTTCCAGGAAGTCATCTGGGTTAGTTCTCTTTACTTGAGAAGTGAAGAGAAGTACTGCAGCTTATAGTCTTTGTCCCTGCTGGAGCAGAGTCACACCCCAGTCTCTGGGGAGGGTGCCTTTGCCCTCACACTCAATTTTTTTTTCAGGGCTGGAGAGTTGTCTCAGTGGTTAAGAGCACTGACTACTCTTGCAGAAGACCCAGATTTGGTTCCCTGTACCCACATGGTGGCTAACAACCATCCCTAGCTCCAGGTTCCAGGGAACCTAACGCCCTCTTCTGGCCTCAGGGGCATTGCATACACGTGGTGGACTTATACATGCAGCAAGATATTCATACACATAAAACTAAAAAGAATTAATTTTTTTCTTATCTCTATAGTATGGTAGCCTAACAAGATTTGTAGTATGACAAAACTAGTTGACATGCCAATGTGGATGGGGGAAATTTCCTGGGGTCCCACCTCAAGATGAAGAGTTACAGGCAGTTAATGGATACTGAGGGAGGGAGAATCAGTCTTCTCCAGGCACTAGTTCCCTGGCAAGTTATCTAGTCCCAAGCAGTCAACCCCAAACTGATGTACACATGAACACCAAGTGGACACAGTGCTCACACACACACACACACACACACACACACACCAAAAAAAAAATCTATCTATATATAGACTATAATATATAGTATGCATATATATAAATGTATGCATGTATATGTGACAATACTAATCAAAGACCAGGATAAGAAATTGAGAGACATTGGGGGACAAGGAAAGAATTGGAAGGGGATTGGAGGGGTAGAAGTAATGCAAATACAATACTCATGTATGAAATTCTCAAAAGGTGAAAAACTGTGTGTGTATATGTCTATGCCTTTATGTACTTATTAGTGTGAGGGTGCATGCACGTGTGTGCACTTGTATGTGGAAGCCAGGTTTTGATGGCGGATGTCTTTTTTCAATCACTCTCCACTTTTTACAGGTTTTTGAAACAAGGTCTTTCAAATGTAAAGCTCACTGCTGTGGCTAGACCTGCTAGCAATGAGCTTCAACAATGTGCCTGATTCCTTCCAGTTCCCTAGCGCTGGGATCACAGGGACAGCACACTGTGCCTGTCCTTTTGTGTGTGGGGATACTGAACTGAGGTCCTTATTCTTGGGTGGCAAGCAGTTGAATGGCTGAACTATCTGCCTAGTACCCACACTTTTATAGATAGTCAAGAAAGGTTTGTCCAGGTGATGCAGGCCACACATGAGTTTGTTGAAGGAAGTCCTCCATCCCAGAATGCTTGACTTGTCCATGAGGGAGTGGTACTGAGGTAGCAGCTAAAGAGGGTCCCCAGGACACTGATCCCTAAGACACAAGGTATTTCATTTCCATTTGTGTGTGTGTGTGTGTGTGTGTGTATGTGTGTGTGTGCGCACGCACGTGTATGTGATGTGTGGTATGTGTGTGGTATGCGGTGTGTATAATATGGAGTATGTATATGTGTGGGATGTGGAATGTGTATGTGTGGTGTGGAGTGTATGTGTGTGTGTGAAGGCTGCCTCTACCCCCCTATGAACCTGCATTCATTTTAGAGACATATCTGCATTAAGCATTTGCTCTAGGGGGAATTCCATGCAGAGGTAGAGACCTTGCTGGCCAAGATTTTCATTGGCCCTGACCAACTTCTTGTCAAACCTGGGTCTGTTGTTCTATAGCTGTGCACAGTACTTTTGGGTGGTCATTTGAGTTCACTGAATCCCACAACGAGCAGCTTCATGACTCTGGTCATAAACAACATGGTTAAGACCTGAGTTAAAACTGGTGCCTGCTGCTTTTATTTTCCACTTTCACCTGCTAACCAAATCCAAAACATTACTAAGGCACTGCTCACACAAAAGACATAAAGTCACTGTTTTTCAACCAGACCATGTTCTTAAAACAAAGATAGAAAGGGATAAAGGAATAGAGTGGGAAGGAAGGAGAAAGAGAGAGAGAGAGAGAGAGAGAGAGAGAGAGAGAGAGAGAGAGCAGTGTCTTCTCTCTGCCCTCAAATAGTAGCCAGTTCTGACACCCTCTGCTCACTCTAGAAATGTGTCCCTTGATTTCACCCTAAAATGACCTCTCATGGGATCTTTTTCTTAAACCAGTCTGCAATGTAAAATCCCCTGACTTGGCCAGGGCTGTCTGAAATAAAGGCCCTTTGCAGACCTCCTGCCCTAAGCCTTCACCATGTCCACCACCACCATTTCTTTAGTTGGGAGACATTAAGCTTCTTGTGGAATTCGCTGCATGAGATTAAAACCCCAACAAGTAAGATGGGATCTTGGCATAAATAATGAGCTTTGTTTTAGAGTCACATTCAGATAAAGTCCCAATGAAACAGGTTGCTCTGTAATGAGGCTCCTAATGATTTCTCTGAGATCTTCATTGAAATGCAGTTTTGCCAAACCGATAGCATGTAATTTGTAATAAAAACTATTTCAGTGTGTGGAAATGTAAGAGGAAATATGGTGTGCGTGGGGAACATGCTCTGAACTTGGCATGACAAACTTGATCCTCTTTTCCTTTTCTCCTTCATCCCTCCCCTTCCCTCCCCTCCTCTTTCCCTCATTTGCCCCTTCCCGTCTCCCTCCCTCCCTCTCTTCCTTCCTCTCCTCTTTTCCTCCCTCCCTCCCTTTCTTCCTTCCTGTATCTATTGAACACAGTTACCACAGTGAGTTGCTGGTTGTTGGATGTTGATGCTGAGCGATGAGTACATAGACTGATACTCTTCTGCACACCTGATACTTTCTATAATAATAATAATAATAAGGCAATTTGTCTGGGTTCCGAGGTTTACAGTAGTAGAGAATGTTGGCTTTCACTCCTTGTATGGTGGACCTGTATCAAATGTACTAATGAAAATATCCTACCTATATCCCTTGAGGTCAAGCTGTCCTAGAACTCCGGAACCCCCTCAGAATATAGCCACCTGCTGAGATAAACCAGCTCCCAATCTGGACGGGGTGCTGCTCTTTTTGGGCAAATCTTTGCTACTCTTCTGGTAAAGATACCCCCTTCCTCCTAAACCTGGGGAGAGTGGATTTTCCAGAAAACAAAGAAAAAAGGCAGAAATGAAACAATGGCCAAGAGAAAGGATTAATTTATTATATTAGTCGTGCCAGCATGGAGCCACCACGGAGAACTGAACAGTCGGGAATGACCTCGAGGTCAAGAGCATTTTCCTCGGGAACTCTAACAAAGTCTTCTCCTAGAGCCTTCAAACTGCTCTCACAAACTGTTTTAACATGTTGCAGTCTAGCAGGGGCCAGGCACGGCAGGGTTACAAAATGACTGGCAAAGTCTATGACATACAGTTAGTGGTCGGGTGACTAAGACAGTTCCCAAATAGAAATCTGACCCAAAAGACAGTCAGGAGATTAGAATAATAGGACCAAACGCGGTGAGATGACTCATGTGGCAGCCATGCACATCCTGCCTTACCCAAGGGTTCTGAATACAGTTTGGGGCTTTTGAACATTGTAGTTACCACAGGTCCTGGTCTTTGGGGAACTCCTTACCCCACCTCTTCCAAAGAAGCAGAATGTATAACCACACTCCAGGCAAGCTGTTCTGTTTCAGCTTTTCCAGGGAAAGGAGGAATATCCGGTAGGCAGATTATTTTCTTTCCATTCTGCCAGGGTAAGCTTCCTAGACCAGCTAACTCTCCTGTGAGGCCTGGCAGCTCAGGCCGCCAGCAGTGGGGAGCAGCACTCCTTCCTCCCAGTGTCTGTTGCCCCTACATTCCTCCTCTACTTTGGCAGTGACCAGCTCGCCACAGGCCGAATACTGCTGTGCCCTGATCAAGGGACAGGGAAGCAACGCTTGTAGGACCCTGGGGGTTGGTGAGTTGCACCTGGCCTGCATTCCTGCCCTCATTTGCAAGGATCACCCAAGTTCCTGCCATCTGGTAATCTGCCCCACAGCAGTCACTGATCACTCTGTAGCTCTCCATGGGTCCTTCTCAGGGACTCCTGGTATTCTTTCCTGAACCATCCTTTGCACTGGGCTCTCTGGGGTCTTTGTTCCTTGGTGGAATGATCCTTTCTTTGTCCCCACCCTCACTGAAGTCCCCTCTCTGGACTCTGCCACTTTCCCTGTATCCACATTTCATGCCCCTGGGTGGAGAACTGTACAGGGTCCCTTGTCTATTACTGGTCTTTCTTATAGAAATGTACCTGCTCTGCTGCGTCTTCTGTATTTGACATCCCTTCAGCCTTGTACCTTATGCCATACTTTGATGACTAGTCCATGTTACTCTCCAATTCAGTTAGGATGTGTGTGGGAGTGTGGGTGTGTGGGTATGTGGGTATCTGGACAAACATCCATGCATGCTAAATACCCTGGCTGCCTTGATAGCATGGGTTCTAATTCTGATTTTGTGCGACTTTGGAATGAACTGTTTTATATTTATAGGCTTTTTGGCTCTTTGAAATATGGTTCACAGTATGCCTGTGGCAGTCATTATGAGGATTGCATGAGAAGGTCCATTTGAAGTGGTTAGCACATTGCTGGCCAAACTCAAGCAATGTTAAATATTATATTTGGTCTGTTGGATTTCCTTCCTAATTCATCATCTGGGGCATTTTCCGTGCTCTTTGGAAATACACACCCATTTCTTAAAATTTGTTTCAATGATTATTTTAGTGTGTGTGTGCACAGGTGTGTCACAGTGTGCATGTGGAGGTCAGAGTACAACCTTCTGGAGTCATTTCTCTCCTATCATGTGGGTTCTAGGGACGAACTCAGGTTGTCAGGCTTGGTGGCAAGTGTCTTTACCTGCTGTTCCATCTTATTGACCCCTTACACAGCCATCTCTGGTGAGAGTTCCTGTCTTCTGTACTGTAGGACATGAATTCCAGCAACTGCCTCTGTAGCAACTGCCTGCCTCTGGCCCTCAGACTCCTCTCATATTTTCTCCCTGCTGGTGGAGCCTCCTTCCTGTTCCTTCTCTCCTTATCTTCCTGGGGCCTTATCAACCTTGCCAGGTAGTTTGCTTTCACTGAGATCAACAGAGGCTGTGATGTGTCTGTGATTCATCTTCACCTGAGTGTCATGTCTATTCTGTGGTTATATTTTCCATAATTGCGCCATTATATGGGCTTCTATGGGGCTGAACCACTCCCTAGAGCTCCCTTACCCCCAAGCTTGATGACATGTGAAGAATCTGATCATCTACCACTCATCAGGAGAGTTGGCTCTAAGTCACTAATGCCTTCAGTCACAGGGTGAGTTGTGTAAGATGTGTGGAGGAGGTAAGTTGGCACTTTTCACAGTTTTTACCATCTGAATTGCATGTTGAGCTTGGGTGAGAATTGGTAGAGGACCTGTGGGCTGTGAGAAAACAGCATTTTTGTCTTTCCTTGATTTTCTTCAGTTTCTCTTTAATTTTCTTTAGTATTTTTAGAAACTCAGGTTTCTTTCAACTCTGCTGGAGCCCAGCAAAGATACAGGATTCTGCTATCTGAAGAGGTTGTGGGTAGGGATGGTGGACTAGTTTGGGCCATACCTGTAAGGCAGGACTCACCTCTGGGAAGCAGAAGGACATGAAGTGACGGGATCACTATGGACCACCTAAGGAATTCTGAGTGACTGTGGCACAGATATAATGCTAGAGTGAGCAAGCAATGACCTTCCTGTCCCCAGGGACGGGGAGTTGGGACAGGAGGGGAGAGAAGGCAGGTCTGTTTGTGCCTGCTCGTTCCAGTTATTCTGAGAAGTGGAGTGGCTCTTTCACAGAATGAAATAGGAGAAAGGGGAGAGAGAAATGTACCAGAAGATGAAAACATGACACTATCCTTACACCATTTTGAGTTTTATGAATTCTCAGAACCTCAGAGACATTTCTATCAAAAACATGTATCTAAATACATTCTAGGAAATGCCTCGTTAGGGTGGCAAATTTGCCTTTATGTGAGCACTGCAGAGTTAAATCCACAAACCTGGATGGTACAGTTGACTGCACACCTGTGTAGACTTCACAACCCACTTACTACAGGTGTTGTAACCCAATGGCATTTGTGTATCTAAGAGGATATAGTAAAAATGCTAAGCAAGAGGAAGTTTCAGCTCTGTTGAATCTTATGGGACCACCACTGTAAATGCCTGTCATCCATCGCTGACCAAATCCTTTTGTGACATAGTAATATGCACAAAAGTTTCCCCCCAATGGAGCTATTTATTAACTACCACTTTTGGAGCACTTATTCATTCTTATAAGTAGTAATTAAAATAGAATATTAATTCCAGCACTCAGGAGGCAGAGGCAGACAGATCTCTGATTTGAGGCCAGCCTGGTTTACACAGTGAGTCGTAGACCACCAGGGGAACCTACTGAGATCCTGTCTAAAAAAAAAAAAAAAAAAGAGAAAGAAAGAAAAGGAAAGAATATAATTGTGTGATAGAAGCTATACAAAGAGTTAGAGAATCTGGTTCCTAAATTCTGTTCACCCACTGGAAGGCTGTGTGACTTAGGATAAGAAGCTTAATTATTTGTATCTCCAGAGGTCATTTTCTCTCTC